AATTGAGTTATGTAAATATTTTGGCTTAACTAACTATCCAGGGTTATTTTGTATTCCCTATACTCTTGGCTTAATATTTCTCACGCTACTGTGTGCTTATAGCTGTTACCATTTTAAGTGACGAGATGTAGGGGAAAACCCATAACCTCACGAAATGGAACCTGCACGTGAATTGATGTTGAACCATTATTTTATCTTTCTTTTTTTTTATTTTTTATTTTTTATTTTTTATTTGCTCCCTTTTGTTCTACTCGGAGCTGGTCACTGAATAATAAAATAATAAAAACGTTATAAATGTATTTTCTCTTATTAAAATAGTAAAATTGAGTAATTTCCTGTTTAATTATTTTTATTTCCGCTTGCGCAGTTTAATTTGCTACAAATAGAAAAAGTTAGTAAGTTGCAATTCCAACCCAAAGCCCCTGGGGTTGGGTCATGATAGAGATGTCCAAAAAGAAGGCGAAGATATATTGGATTATGTTAAGCCGTTCCAACATAAGGCTATTGACTGTCATGAACCAGTGGATGAGGCCCATTTAGTCAGCATATATGTGGAGGGTGTCATACGCAACTACAAGATTTTCTTAGTGAACCATAATCTGCCTACCTTTTTAGCCTTGATTGAGGCAGCTAGGAACCTCAGTACCACCGGTCCCTTGCACAGATCTCGTGACAGCCACCGCTACCCCCGCAGTTGTAAAGTTGCTACGGTAACCTCTATAGGAGGAAGCCGCTCGCAAAGTGAGGCGTCGTCTTCTCGAAAAAGAAAGAGTTACAAGGACAGAAATCCATATCCTTGCAGCCTTGAGAATGTTAAGGCTTTGGTTAAAGAATGGGTAGCTGATGGTGAACTTACTTTGCCTTCGGTTGATGTCTCTCCAACCAAGAAGGACAAAGAAAGCCCAGATTACTGTGTTTATCACAGAACCACCAGACATCCTACTAGGGACTGTTGGACTTTGAAAAGTATCTTCAAGAAGAAAGTTGACGCAAATGAGCTGAAATTCAAAGATGCTGATAATCGTGACGTAAGGAAGGACCCTTATCCTAATCACAAAGAGAATGGGAAGAATGTACATATGATTGGGTACCTTGGGCCCGTGTGTGATCAAGTGCACATGGCGTTCGGCTATGATGAGTTAGAAGAAATCACTAGTGGCCAGCTCCCTGAGACAGTACCTGTAGAGGCAAAATTCGCAGAGGATACTCACGCTCAGGCCTTGCAAAACTCTATTAAGTTTCGCACCTTCTTTGACCAGCTAGGGCTGAGCCAAGCCATTAGATTGGAAGCAACAAAGGCCCTCATTGACATCTCCGAAGTGCATCATGATGAAGTTGTTGAGGCTAAGGAGTATATGCCTTGGCTCATCCAAAAAGATTGTGGGGCAATCACTTTTTCAAAAGCAGACAGAGCATACACATTTCCTCATAACTGTCCTCTTTTTGTCACAGCTTACATCAATGATGTAGAGTTCAAGCGTGTTTCCTTAATAGTAGGGCGTCCATAAACATCATCACTACTGACACCTTTTCAAAGGGTGGTATCCCAGAGCCCAGGATGGTTCGCCAACCTATCACTATAACAGGATTGGGTGGTGAGAATAAGGTTACCAAGGGCCACATTGTAGTGGACTTGACAGTTGGCGAGATCCGCTCCGCCACTAAGTTCCATGTGATTGAAGTGGGCACAAACTGCCACATGATACTTGGCAGAGCTTGGATGCATGGATACGGAGCTATCCCGTCGAGTTATCACCAATGCGTAAAGGGAAAGTTAGGAAGGCACACAATAACCATAAATGCGTCTGAAAGGCCATTCAGCGTGGAGGAGGCACACTATTCGAATGCAGTTTTCTTTACTGAGTTGTCAACGGATGAAACTCCAAGGAGTTGTAAAATTTCAAGGGTAAAACTGTCGAAATGGAAAGCATTTGAGATGTAGAGGCTACTCCAGACAGTAGTGGGCAGAAGAGGAGTAACAAGTCCATAAGTCCTCCGCCAAGATTGTTAAGGTGCACGAGGGTGGAAAGACAGTTTATTACTTATGACAGTCTTGGGGGCCAGACTTCATACCTTGGGAGGATGGCCCGAGACGAATAAGTGTGACAGTGAGGAGTCCTAAGAAGGGTTAATGGAAACGCTTGAGCCCACCCCCGAATGCATGCAAGATAGACCCAAACCGCAGCAGGAGGTACTTGTTGAGGTCAACCTCAGTGACTTACCGGGACAGAGCAAGCTTGTGTTTATCAGCAATACAATCCTAAGGCAGAATTGATAACATTATTAAAGCGTTGCAGTGATGTCTTTGCTTGGACATACGACGAGATGCCTAGTTTTGATCCATCTTTGTCACTCATCATCTGGACACTTTTCCCAACTCTAAACCAATCAAGCAGCATGCTCGAAAGTATCACCCTGATCTTGAAGCAAACATTAAAGCAGAGATAAAAAAAAAGTTGCAGAGGGCCAAGTTCATCGAGCCTATACTGTACCCAACTTGGCTAGCAAATATTGTGCCTGTACAGAAGAAGAACAGTCAGATCAGGGTCTACGTAGACTTTCGCGACCTGAATAAGGCCTGCCCGAAAAATGAGTTTCCATTGCCCCATGTTGACACACTTGTCAACTCTACTGCAGGCCATCAGATCTTCTCCGTCATGGATGGCTTCAGTGGTTATAATCAGATTAAAATGGCACCAGAAGATGCAGAAAATATGGCTTTCAGAACGCCCTTGGAAAATTTTTTCTATACGATGATGCCCTTCGGTTTAAAACATAGGGGCAACCTACCAACGGGCAGTGTTCCATGACATGTTACATCATGAAGTGGAAGTATATGTGGATGATCTAGCGGTCAAGTCTACTGAGGCAAACCGACATCTCTACGACTTGGAAAAAGTTTTTCAGCGTTGCCGCAAATTCTGCCTAAAAATGAACCCTCTCAAGTGTGCCTTTGGAGTTACCGCTGTCAAGTTCCTTGGCTTTCTTGTATACTAGCGGGGGATTGAAGTAGATAGGGATAAGATCAAGTCAATCATGGAGATGCCACCACCACATTCTCAAAAGGCTTTGAAGAAATTCCTAGGCAAAGTGTCATACCTCAGGAGGTTCATTCCAGCCCTTACTGAGATAACATTTTCCTTTGGGACATTGCTGAAAGGGAATCACAAGTTTGAATGGTTGCAAGAACACCAACAGGCATTTGATATGGTGAAGAAAACACTTACCTCTCCACTTACAATGATTGCTCTACAACCCGGAAAGCCTCTACTACTGTACCTGACCTCTACACCTCGGTCTATTGGAGATCTACTTGTCCAAGACATAGATGGCATTGAGAAGCCAGCCTATTACATCAGTTGCAAAGTCAATGGTGCCGAGTCACAATATACCCCAATTGAGAGGCATTGTTTAGCCTTAATCTTTACAACGTAGACGTTGAGCCACTATTTTTTGGCACATCCGATCCAGGTTGTGACCCGGAGTGATCCAGTCCGCTACCTGCTAAACAAGCCCACTCTAACTGGAAGAATGGCAAGATGGCTCTTGGCTCTAGCAGAATATGACATCACTTGTGTTACTCCCAAGGCTATTAAGAGCCAAACACTTGTAGACTTACAGGCCTAATTCCCCTCTGGTCGACATGAACCTGTGGAGCTACCTCTACCGAGTGAGGTCTATGTCTTAACAATTGCAGTTGAGACTTATTGGGACTTAAAATTCGATGGAGCTTCGGGAACTGGGAAAGGTGGAGCTGACATAACACTAACCAGTCAAGAAGGAAAGAAGTTTCATCTATCATACAACTTGACTTTGAATGTTCGAACAACGAGGCCAAATATGAGGCGTTGATACTAGGTCTAATTGCTACCCAAAAGAAGGGCCTCTACAAGTTGAAAATTTGGGGCGACTCCATGTTAGTTGTCAAACAAACAATGGGTGATTTCGCATTGAAGGAGCCTCTGTTGGCCCTATATCGCATTGTGGTTCAAAGGTTGCTCATTTAGTTTGATGATGTCCAAATCCAGCATACCCCTCAAATACACAACTGTTTCCCCGATGCCTTGGCTACACTGGGGGCAAAGATGGATATACCATATGATAGTATAGCCATCGTCATCGAGAAAAGAACAACACCAACAATGCTAGCTAAAGGACATACAGAGCAAAATGCTGAGGGATGGAAAGCAGATATAATCCAGCAGTTAAAAACAGGCCAAGAAACAATCAGACCAGCAGAACTTGCATCATTTCTGCTCTTCAGAGGAGAGTTGTATTTTTGCGGTCCCAACAACCTGCTGGCAAGGTGCGTTGGCAGAAAAGAAGCAACTCATAGACTTAAGCAAATCCATGCTAAGTCCTGTGAAGATGGAGACATCAGTCTATACTGATGGATACATAGCCAAGGGTATTACTCGCCAGAGATAGAGAAGGAAAGTACTGAGTTGTAGAGGCAATGAACAAAATGGCAGTCCCATCCTAAGGAAGAGAAAGCCCATTTCTTAAGCAGTGAAGAATGGAGGCAGCCATATATCGACTACCTTGGAAAGGGCACACTGCCTGATAACAAAGCCGATACAATCAAAGTTAAAAGGCAAGCCCTCCGCTTCTTCCTTGACCAAGGCAAACTGCACCGAAAAAGCTTTAAAAGGGAACCTTTGGCCTGCTTATCAAAAGAAGAGGCAAATGAGGTGCTGGAGGAAGCCCACAAGACAGAGCATCAAAAAGTGTAGCAATTATATGGACATCTCATTCACCGCGGCTACTACTAGCCGACAATGGAAGAAGATAATAAAAACTTTGTGAGGAGATGTCAATCCTGCCAGAAGTTTGGGAACTTAACACATACACCAGTAATTGAACTACACAACATCAAGACTTCTTACCCGTTTCATACTTGGGCATTCGACCAAGTGGGTCCTATGGCGCAGCAATCCAAGGGCCACAGATGGATACTTGCAGCAACTGAAGTTAGTACCAAGTAGGTAGAGGCTATACCGATGAGGAAAGCAGACAGGGGAGGAGTAGCCAACTTCATCAAAGAAAACATGATCTATAGGTTTGGCGTACCCAAAGTAGTACTGTCTGACAATGGAACTCCCTTTGTAAATCGCCATGTGGGAAGACTGTTGGATGCCTACCAGATCAAGCATCACAAGTCTAGTCCATACTACCCCCAAGGGAATGGACAAGCTGAGGCAACCAACAAAACTCTCATCCGAATACTGAGTAAAATGATGGATGAAGCAGGGGCACATGGTCTGAACAACTCCCCGTGGCACTCTGAGCATATAGAACGTCAAAAAGGAAGCCAACTCAGGCAACTCCATTTTTCCTAGTATATGGGTCCGAAGTTGTGTTACCAGTTGAGTTCACAGTACAGTCAGCAAGAATGACTATGTCAACACACTTAGTTCCAAACAACAGAAAAAACGACATAGAGGCAGCTGAAGAAAGAAGGGATCGAGCCTCACGAGCAACGGAAAAGTATCATCAATCCATAGCTCTTGCCTACAATCAGTTTGTTCAACACAGGGAGTTCAAGGAGGGGGACTTGGTATGGAAGACAGTGGACGCAATCATGTGGGGGCAACCAATCCACAAGTTCTCACCCAGATGGGAAGGCCCCTACAAAGTTGCTGAGGCAAGCAGTAGCGGGTACTACAAGTTGACAAGAGTAGATGATGGGTTCAGAATCGGCCCTATCAATGCCAAGTATGTCAAAGAATATTTTCCTTAATTTCTTTTGTCCAGGAAAAAGAGTTGTAAGTTTCTTTGTTAATACTTCCAAAGCAAAGTGTAAAGAAAGTGTCAGTCATGATGAAATTTTGTTCACTACAAGAGTTTTTCTTATCTTTCGAAACTGTACAAAAGCAATGTACGGAGGGAGAAGAAATGAAATCCAAAGTACTACAAAACATCCACACTTTTCATTAAAGTCAAACTTCCAAAACATGATTACAATGTTTGAAAAGAAGTTGTGATAGAGAAGAAGAAAAGAAAAGGCGTAGCAGGCGCAATGAAACAACAAAATAAAGAAAAGAAAATGAAGGAAAACATAACAAAGTCACAGGCACATCAAATCAAACCTTTCAAAAGGGAGTCCATCAGGGTCACATCTCGAGGCAGTTGGGCAACCAACGCAGAGTCTTTCTCTTTGAACCGAGCCAGGTTCTGCCAATACTGCTCCAAGGCACCATCACACTCCTTGATAGTCTCCTCCGAGGATGCAATCATCGCCACATTACCTGCATGCTCAAGGAAACCATCGACTTCCTGAAGCTTGTCCCTCATCCACGATAGATCTAAACAATTACTCTCAAAGCCGCTCAAGTTGGCCTTAGCACTTCCCACAAACTTGCTAGGGGTTGTCAGAATCTTCTTGGTAGCAAGGTCATGAATGAAGCTGGCAAGTGACTCTAGCAGCGTCATCTGCACCATAGATCCAGGAACATTAAAAGTAGTAAAGGTACTAGGGTGCAACGCTTGGATGCAGGCGAGAGTGAGAGCAGCTTCGGAGGTGACCCAATAACTGAGAAAAGAAACTTTCTCTAAGGATTGAGGGAACTCTCTCACACTGTCACCAGCTTCAATCAATGGAGAGAGATTGGCAGAACGACCAAATGTCTGAGGGTGACACACTTCCCTTGAAGATGATTGCCCAACAACATGGAATAGGCAGATGCTGGTTGGCGACCGAGTGAACTGGCCTCACAAGAAAGGCCAAAGCTGTCTGCACCATCATGTCGCTCTGAAAAAAGGTCATCCATATAGTAGTCTCCAACATTCAGCTCTGGTACAGCAATGGTATCCATCCCAATATAAAAATCTTGGGACACCCCAAGATCAACCAGCACTTCCGGAAAGTGAGTGGGGTACAAATCTACCAACTATTCAGAGGTTGCCAAAGCAACTGGGTTAGAGGTCCCAGTGACAGCAGTAACAGTGTGGGTGGCTAAAGTGACAGCTATCTCTGCAAATCGGTTCAAGTTTAGAGGGGCTATAGTAGGAACAGTAGAAGCATCTGCTACACTTGCACTCCCCTTAGCCACTTGGACATTTGGAAGTGGGGTCTGTTGAACCAATGAAGACTCAGTGGACTGGGAAGAACCACTAGATGTAGCTCCAAAGGGAGGTGGTGCAACTTCCAGCGGCTCTCTCACGCCACGATCTTCCCTTGGGGTCTCAAGGACAAAATCATCTCTGCCAACAAAGGAATGGTCAGAGTGCACAGAATTAGCGAGGTTTGGAGGCTCTGCACCCTCAGCAACTAGACCACCTGCAGCAACTTCCACAGCAGGGGGCACTTGTTCATTTTCTGTAGCCTCCACAATTAGCTCAGCCTTAGCAACTGGATCAGCCTCAGTAGTTAGTTCGGCCTCAGCAGTTGGTTCTTCTTCAACATCTGGAAGAACCCTCACGCGGGTCCTGAATATCGTGACCTTTATAGCAATGGAAAGGTCGTCATCGTCATCTAAATCTGAGGAAATTTCGATGGCAGTAGAAGAACCTCCGAGACCCGAAGGTGGTATGACTAGTGGGCCCTAAAAAGGAAAAAAGATCATGTGATTACTAAAGTAAATGTAAGAAGCCCAAGGAAGTAATGCAAAATATTTTTCTGAAGTCTCTTCCTACTTGCTGAGGCACGTGCCTCAACAATTGATGCCGCTGCCTCTTGGGCTATCTTTAGTTTGGAGCGGGTCATGCGTACTATTCTGCCGACTTGAGGGGGAGCAATTTGCAAAGGTTGAACGGACATTGCCCCAGACGGGTGAGGCTCTTCCACGGCAGGCAGGGATAGAAGCTTGAAGCTGCAGAATACACTTGTAGACACCCCATTTTTGACCGACCTTAAGACTCAGACGTCACTGATTGAGCGCTTGGTGATGTTGCATAATGTGCTCGTTCAGAAGTTTCAGGGTCGCGGCCGTAAGCCCTGCCTCCGGACTTCCGAACCCTTTTCTGTGCCTTGTCTCGGTTTGCGAACCAGACTCGATTTTCTCTGTTTCTTTTCCTGAAGGGAGGGAGAGGTAAATTGTGGGCTGCGCCAATGTCCGTAGGCTACATTTGGTAG